AAATTTTCATATTTGCTGTCAGCATAGAATTCCCCTCTGGTGAATCTACTCTATTAGTATTATATTAAAAACAGATTTCCTTGGTTATCAAAAAATATAGGGCCTCTCTGGCTTAAAAAAAACACCCTCAGAAATTAAGATGAATTATTAATTTGTAACATCTGTGATTGGGTTATGTTACATTGGGACAATCCCGAGAGATGCAGGGTAAGCAGTCTTCTAGAAAATGACTTCATATTTGAACCCCCTGGGGACACAAGGCCAGGCACTGTGTCATCATAGCCTGTCTTTGATAAACTGCTAGATGGGTTCCATGAATTGTAAATGGAAACATAGCTGGTGTCATTTACACTTAAGGATAAAGTGGTCCCTGCTCCCTTCTCAACAGATATTAGTTACGTTGTATATTGTGATTGTCAGAGGCATGAATCTGTCAACAATCAGCATCGTAGGGTTTTTTTTTTCCCCCCCAACGAAAAAAACCTTAAAAAAACCTAAAAGCCGGAAGGGAATCCTTTAACAATCCCTCCCCCCCTTAAAATCCCCAAAAACCAATTGGGGTGCAATGAAACTGACCCCCCAAAAAAGTGAGAGAGCTTATTGGCTTTGAATTTTAATCTCTGAAATCTGAAGAGGCTTTCAGAAAACGCATATCATTAGAATCCAAGGTACGTGTCGGAAAAGCATTATTCATGAAAAAACTTGACTAGTCTTGGACGAGAACCAACCATCTGGGCGATGCCTAAAACGACTTTTTGAACACATTCCAACATGCCGTTTCCCCCGAGATGTTAAAATAGATAAAGTGCTTCTCGAGTGCGGTTTTTTAAAATATATTATCGCAGCCTAGAGTGCTCAAGTATAAAGTGTGTCGTAGTCTGATTCAGAGGCTTGTCACCAAAAGGACCAACACACCCTTTCTCTGCTTCATTTCCTAATTACGCATCACTGACTTTTTTATACTACGAAAATTCTGTAAGGGATTGTGATGTTAAATTGTAGAAAATCAAATGCCTCTTGAGTAAGGCAGATTAGTTTATAAAATATACACTAAAAGATTAAAATATGTAAATCAAATTTCGCTTTACACATGCAAATCCAATTTCCTTTTATACATTTCAAGAATCTAAACCCTTTCCAGACTCTAATTCGGTGCCTAAGTTGGCCTAAGTTTTATCACAATAGAAAAAGGCTCTTCCTCTCTGTAGACTGGTGATCTATCATCTTTTCCTTTTTATTTATTTACAGTGCTAGTAATATGAATAGATTCTAAAATCTTCTAATAAAATTTTATTTTTTACTTAAAAATTTCTTACCACTTCCAGGCAGTCGATGATCTTGGTTAATTTATCTTCGGGTAAATTCTTTAGCAAGGATACACTTCAAAATTAAAAAGAAACCTTTAATTAACTTCCTGAATTAAACTGCGAATACACACATATATGTAGATTCTAAAATCCTTACATGCAATTTTAAAAATGTAATGCATTTTAATTTTTCCAAAGTCAGCATCCAAATAACCGAAAACACACAAATAACTGAATTTCATATACACTGGAAATTATATATGTAATCACAGATAAGTATCACAGGCAAATAAATGAAAATGGTAAGATACCATATGGTGGGGAATCACATTTTTGTCTATTTAGGGGAAAAAAACCCAGCATTTATTGTTGGTTTCCAAAGCGACTCACACCCTGAAATGTGTTCCTCTCCAGATCTTAATATCTCCTCTATTAGCCTGGGCAAGGAGCTCTGCTTCCAGTGGACGATCAGATTTTTGTCTACAGCCTTGTAGTTAAGTAAAGACTAAATCCCAGAGTGGGGAAGAATGTGAGAATTAGCACCGAAATTATCTTTGATTATTAGTCATACTGTACCATTTTTAAAATTAATGGCAGCCGGAGGCATGTATAAAGTTCAAAAACAGGCTAAATCAAGCTACAGGCAAAATTATAAAGAATATCCAGGGAATGATCACAAAACTTCAGAATGCAGACTTCCCGCACGGAGAGGGAAAGGGGGAGCCCGGAAATCACATGGGGGTGTAC